TGAGCAAAGACACACCAGCCAAATGAGGCACCTTGCTATTTGAAAGTAGAGGAATAAACAAGGTGTTTGGATGTATTTTTCTTTATTGGCTAATATGAAATATTTCCAGACCATCAGAAATAAAACATAACTCTGCCAGTAGCCACATATGCATATGGCTCAAGATTGAACAAAATCTCTATAAATAACCAATTTAGGAGGGAAAAGTAATTAAAATTTACCTACATTCAATGTAAAACACCAGAGACCTTCTTAGTGAGGCGAGCAGGGGATTAGGTGCATAAGAGATTATCTTCCCAGTATAGTAGGGTTTGTGTTGTGGAGAGGGTGCTACAGTATTGACACTGTTACCAAGCCTGGATCTGAGAACCTTGGAGGAGAAAGTTGCTCTCCTAGGCTTCCCCCTGTCAAAATCCAAATCCAGATATACAGAGAAGAAAATACAAAACTGAAAAACTAAACTCGTCCTCAGTAAATACCTCCCCTCCCTTACAAGCAAGAACAACTTTCTTTTGCTAGTTCAAATATAGACAACTCCACTATTTTCTAGTCTTAGGGACATGTTGAAAACTTTTCTGTCACATGTCCTTTGTGCTTCCACTGACCAATAACCCCCAAATAGAAAAAATACATGAAAGCAAGGCACTCAAAGATGCCCATACTTTAAAAGCAATGAAATATTTAAAAACACTCCCCAGGAACAAATGCTTGAGTGTGACATTTGCCATGGCAAAGCAGCAATTATAAGGAAAACAAGCATGCTTCACCTCACCTCTACCCAAGATATCTTAAAAAGCAAAGTAAAACATTTCCTTAGTCCAATTGCTAACTACAATTTTTTAACTTCAGAATGAAAGTTAGAACCAAGGTGATGCTGGGTATGACTTGGAATGGTCACACAATGTTCATACCATGAGGACCTTGCTCCTGGTTGGCACACCTGTGCACTGGGGTAGCCCCAGCAACCAAGGATTTTGTCTTAATTGCTACAGAAAATATCATTGCTAAGAAGTTATTCTGGGCTGGGTATTCTAGCCAGGAAGTTTCTTGTCTTGGATGGGGCTCACAATGAGCTTTGCAGTAATTGTGTTTTTGGATATACCATTGGGGAATTTTGCTACATTGTTGCTGTTTTTTTCTGCAATGTTGCCCTCAGTGCCACTATAGTAACTGTACCATCTTAAAGCAGTTGTTAAGGGGAAACAGTGGAGAAAGCCCTGGTCTGGGGATCAGGAGACTTGGGTCAGACTGATCTCTGGCCTGACAAGCCACATATCTAATATGAGCTGTTTTACTTTTCTTCAAAAGGGATATAATAACACCTTATTCAGGGGTTTGTGAGGATGAAATGAGACCATAAACATAAAAGAGCTTTGCAAATTATAAAGTCTAGAGCAGGCACAATGAATAAAGCTGGCTGTAACATTTTATCATAATATTATTGTCATTATGACTGTGACAAAATCATTACCTTTGCCATAGATACAGCAATGCTAGACTTGGGCTTGAACCACTGCCAGGCACATGGTGACCTTTGAACACCTAAGGCCTGCCCAAGCTGAATCATCTTCTGTTTGGATACTAGTTCTTGCCCTACCAGAAGCTGCAGACATGACTAATTAGAGCCAGTGAGATAAGAATAAACTGTCCCAGAAAGAAAAGAACAGAGAACCTAAAGATCAAGGCCTAAATACTTGGCTCACACATATTTGCCAATACCTGTGTTAAGTCAGGCTGCTTGGTGAAGGCTAGTAATTCAATTGCTTCTAATCCCCAGTCCAGTACAATGGGGCCTGTTTACTTTTTCCCAGGTGCTTTTAGCACCCGGACCAATGGGCTGTCCCAGGAGCCCTTAATCAATATTTGTAGATGAACTGTCCCCAAAGATGCATTTAATAAAATCCTGAAAGCAGAGGTTTTGTGGTAGAGAGCATTCATTTGCCAGGGCTAGGTCCTAATGAAGTGCACATGCAATTTAATGTACTTAATTAACCACCAAGTACTTGTGGGACAGAACTAGCTGTACAGTCCTCAGAAAGATAGCCAGATAATAAAGAAGAATACAGCCTCCAAGTTGCTTGTTCCTTCCTGGTCATGAGATGTATAGGTAGGAATTAAAGCAAAAACAAACTTCGGAAAGAATCAAATGGGAAGGGGTGGTGGGAAATCTGGGATCCAACTGACATGTTAGTAGAAAGTGGCAGTGGGGCTCCCTTCCTCTCCCCACTCAGCTACTCCTAAGTATATTAGAGGGTATCTTTGGAGGACTGCTGGGAGGTAATTTGGGGAAATCAGGCCCCAGAGGGAAGGTCACCTTGGCTCAGAAATTTTCCGTAAGGTTCCAATAAGGCAAATTCCAGCCTGGCTCCCTGCCGGAGGTGGAGAGTTATAGCACTTCAAATAAAGGGTGAGGCCCAGGAGATCCACAGGGAAATTATTTGCTCTGGCCTATGCTGCATCACAGGACCATCACTCTTCAAACATGCATAAGATCTTCCAGCTAACCCAGGGAGTGTGGTGAGTCCAGAGGGACCTGGAAGAAGGGAGGGGAAAACTTGTAGGCCATAGGAGGTAAGAGCTATAGGGGAGAGTAAAGCCAAAAAAAACCCCTAAAAACAAAAAAACAAAGAAACCCTCTCCATCCTGGATGTGGATGAAGTCATGTGCTATTTTTCAGTGGAAGACTACACTGCTGCCTCCGTAGCACTTAGACTATGGGGCCAGCTGTTTTTTCTGGTGGTGGAGATGAATTGCCTTATTCAATCTCCTGTTCTTCCCTATGTTCCTTAATGATATTTTAAGGGTTATTTAGGCAGTGTCTAGTGGATAGAAATAACTAGTGCCCTCCAACACCTCTGCCTGTCCTTCTGCCACAGCCAAGAGCAGTTTCTGCTCAAACTGTCCTTCCCTGGCTCTATCCTCAGCCATGGAATCCACACTTCAGTCTGGGGTTGGGAGTGTGGAGCACACTGCCTTTCCAAAATATGAATTGCTTTGGGTAAGTTACTACTCCTGTCTAGGGCTCAGGTTCCTCATCTTTAAATTAGGCATGTATGAATGAACTTTTTTAGAATGTAAAACACTAAAGTGTTATAATTGACAGATTTGCTCAAATATCTGTAATCTACCTGGGAGAGGCTTTTAAAGATGGGATATTTGTCCCCCTCCCCCCTCTAAAGTTAAAGTCTCAAGTCATTGCCCAAACTAAGATCAGAGACTCTTAAGTTGAACAGAGGAATATAGGAGGGAGGACAAGTAGGATGGATACTCCTACTGGCTCCAACCTTTATACCTTCTTTCTTACCCCCAGTGGCAAAAGGAGATAAGATAGACAGATAGAAAGGTTTTGTCTGACCTTGCAGCTCTTCTCACTTTTTGATCTCTTGAGAGACAGTGCTGAATGGAAAGTCTCTTACCTTTCCACTGGGGTCAGATCTGGCAGAGAATATACATCCAGGCTGGCTACAGGGTGGGAATAGGGGAGCTGATGGGAGGGGGAGAGAATAGGTTTGGTATTGTAGGCAAGGATATTACCTCATTCACATTCAGGCATAAAGGCCTTATTTGTCCCTCCACCCCTTTTGCTTCCAAAAAGAGTTGTTTTCTGGAACAGATATGCCAGAAAAGCTACTACTTTAAAACACTGTCTTCTAGAAAATGAAGATTTCAAGATATTGGAGAGGACCCTAGCCTTGATAATTACCCCATACATTACTGAGTGCAGTCACCTTCCATTTCTGAGCCTCAGTTTCATCATCTGCAACCTGGAGATGGTAATTCTTGCCCTGCCCACCTCAGGGTGTGTATAAAGATCCAATGAGATGATTGCTGTGAATACACACTGCAAACTGTAAAGTGTAGCACATACACGTAGTAAATTCCAGCATTCCCACCCTAAGATACAGTCTTGGTTTTCACAAATTAAGTCACATCCAACATTCTGAAGTATATAGGTTGCTCCCAAACAAAGGAGATAGTTGCTCTACTCATCTGGGCAATTTTTCTTTCAAAATATGACCCACAGTGAGGAAGTGGGTATCAGCCCAAGTAGCCCATTATGGACATAAGGGAGACTTAAAAACAATCCATGGTGCCCACATCTGAGCCTTGATGTTCTCATCTGCCTTGTGGCATCAGCCATGGAGAGAGAAGTTCCACTTTATTCTGAGAAGCATGTGAAACTGGTGGTGAGGGCTCAGCAATTGGTTGTTTTTCTCTAAACCAAGAAAGCACCAATGGTCCCTGAGCAGCCCTAGGGCAGGCTTCATTGAAAACCTTAGCTCCTAAGTGTCCCCCACTAGATCTCAGGGATTTCATGGTCACCCCAAAGATGAAAGCTCTGAGCTCTAAATTTGGCCCTTGGGATCTAGAGGCTCAGCCTTGGGCTTAAGAAGACAAGGTACCAGGAAGGGACAAAAGAGGCAATAAAAGAAGAGAAATAAGATAAAAGGAACTTTAGGAAGTACCATTTTAAGAGACAAAAAGATGCTTAGTTGTATCCCCACTAAAGAAGGTAAGAAACCTATAAGTGGAGAGGAAGACCCCAGGGGGCAAAGGGGTTAGCTCCGTGATTGTCACAGCCACAGAAGTCTAAGAGATGTGTGGGGAATCAAGGTTTCAGGCCTCTCCTAAGATGTGTGTAGGTGTGTGTGTGTGTGTGTGTACTGGGGAGGGGGGGCAGTGCAGAGGAGTGAAAGAGGGAAGAGTTTGATTTTGTCCCTAAAGTGCTAGGTAGATGTATCAATAGGGTACTGAGAGGCTCCTCCTTCAGGTTCACCTGACCAAAGATGCAGGCAGTAAAACTCTACCCCATTCATTGCCATCCCCTCCCCTCCTCTCTACAATCAAGCTGAGCTAGGAACATGTCCGGTAGTCCCATGACTGGGGAATCTGGTTCTGCAGGCTATCTAGGATAGGAAAGCAAAAAATGCTGCTGGTCAGTCTTGGGAAAATGATGAAGGATCAGTCCTTTGGTGGGATGGGATAGGATGTGCCCCGTCTGTAGAGTACAGGCTGTTGTGGATACCACATCCTATGCCCCTGCTGCTGTCGTGGTATAGGAACAAGGCAGGAGAGTCCAGGGAGAACGACTGGGCTGCCAGGAGCCCAAGAGACCTAGGGAGGGAGCAGAGCAAGTTAGAAACCTATGGGACAATCTCACTAGCTCCTTCCTCTTCCCATCCCTCAAAAAATGGTTTTAGGCCAGTGGTTAAGGTATAATAGCAGAAAAACATCACTTGTGTGGGGTGGACATGATGACAGTTCTACCCTACTCTATGTTGGTGAGACAATTCCTCATGAAACTGGGTTCAGTTTTAAGCCCCCCATACTTTAACGGAACCCAAAATGGTACTTTCCAGAGAGGAGATGCTATCTTTAGACTTCTTCAGGGCTATCAAAAGACACAGGAAGCAGATGAGGTCTGTGTGGCCTGAGGAGCAGAGCAGGACCCAAGGGTGGTTACTATAAGAAGACAGAAAGGTTTTCTTTACATTGAGCTCAAATCCACCAGTCATAGCTGCAATACATGTTGGGCAGTAGTGAGCTCTCTGATACTGTAAGTATGTGAGCAAGGATGACACAAACACTTCTTGGGGATATTATAAAAGGGACTCAAGCATGGATTGGAGGAGTTGGAAGGGAGGTTGGCCTAGATGACCTTGAAGGTATCTAGGATGACTGGTTTAATAGGAGTCTTGGCTTTCACCTACATATTGTTTATATTTTCTTAGGTAAGATATAGGGAGCGGGAGTCATTGGGGGACCTGGACAATATCATAGCTGGAGAAATATGGAAATGGGTGGTGAAAGTAATTGGTTAGTTGAAAAATAGGAATCCACCCTCATGCTTCATACTGCCCCTTGTTACTTACATGGAGCTCCAAAACCTGGGCTCTAACCCAGTTCTGCCACTGAAATGCTCTGTGACTTTAAGCAAATCACTTTCCCTCTCTGTGTCTCAGTTCCTGCCTCTATAAAGTGTAACCTTCTTACCATAAAGCTATGTTATGAAGACCAGACGAGTGTAGTGTATATGTATGGATGTATTGGGTTGGTCAAAAAGTTCATTTGGGTTTTCCCATAAGACGTTATGGAAAAACCCGAACAAACTTTTTGGCTAACCCAATATAAATTGTGACTGGGGGCAAAGACAAACTAACATGGTTTAAACACCTCTAATGCATTAGACACTGTAAAAGGCACTTGCACATGCATTTCTCATTCAACTCTCACAATATAAGGTGAATAGTATTTCCTACTTTTCACAGATTAAGGACCTGAGACTCAGAGAGGTGAAGGGATTTACACAAGCTTCACACAAATATTAAGGAATGGAGGTAGATTTGAAATATAAGGCTTCCAGATGCCAAGGTTTGTATATTTTCCCACTGTACCTTGGTGCTTGAATACATGATGGGAGATAACTGAATATAACTATTAGACAGTGGGGCCCTGAGAGAGATTGCAAAAGGCCAGGATAGAAAAACTGGTGTCATGTCAACCTGGCCAGTTCCTTGACAACTGTAGGCCCAGATATATGATGTATGACTGACTGGCTTAAAAGATTAACATTATCACAGTTGTCCCTCCATCCACCAGTGTTCCTAGCTTGCTGTTCCTCTGACACTAGCCCTACTGAACAACAGTACTCCAAGGGATAATTCCTTTTGGGGGTGGTCCCCAATTTCTGGTCTTTCTACCCTACCTTTCCAGCTCACCTCAGTAGAGTGAAAGGCTGGGTACTTCAAAGGGTACAGTGAGCTCCAGTCTGTCTCCAGAGCGTTCAGCTGTGTTCCCCCTCAAGGTCTCAGCTCCAGTATAGGAAGCAGAACTGGAAATCTTTCGCAGGTCCAGCTCTGTGCATTCGATGGGAGTGTGGACCCAGTGGGAGTGGCTCTCTGAGGCACAGGAGGCCAAGGTAAAAGACTCCTGTGTGGGGAAGCCACGAGTCGAGCTGCAGTCGTCATCCAGGATGGGGTTAAGTGCCTGGGTCTCAAAGATGCTTTCACTCAGTGGGGACTCAGGACTGGTCTCCTGGCCAGGTGGCATGGGGAAGAGAGATTCCTCTTCCGCTGCCTCGTCAGCCTCATACTGCAGCGAACCTCCTGAAACTTGAAGCAGAAAGCCACTGAGTCACCCAAAGGCAGGGGCTCTTCTTAGTGGGGCACCTGGTCGTGAGCACAAAATCAGGAAAGATCTGGGAACTAGTGCTCCCCCTCCCATCCCTGGGGACCAGAGCACCTAGCACCAGGCTGAGGTGACAGTTGAGAAACGTATTTACATTGGGGTATCAGATTAAGGCTACCTGGTGGTGGATCAGGGAAAATTGTCAATTTCTCCAGAGAAAGAGAAATCCTTTGCAGCAAGCAGGATTTTAACAACACCCACACCAGACATGATCTTTATTCCCTGGTGTTATGCCAGTGTATATGTTGTGTTATATGGCAAAAGGCACTTTGCAGGTGGATTTAAGATTATGGACCTTAAAATAGGTAGATTATCCTGGATTACCAAGGTGGGCCCAATGTAATGACATGTGTCCTTAAAAGGGGAAGATGGAGGCAGAAGAGTCAGAGAGAGTATCAGATATGTGAAAGGAAAAGGACTTGACCACCATTGCTAGTTTTGAAAACGGAAATGGGTCATAAGTCAAAGTGTGGGTGGTGTCTAGAAACTGGGAATGGTCCTCAGCAGACAGTCAGCAAGGAAGTGGAACCTCAACCTTATAACTGCAAGGAACTGAATTCTTCCACCTTTCTGAATGATCAAGGAAATGGATTAACCTCTTGATCTTCCAGAAATGAATGCAGCCTCGGCAACACCTTGATTTCAGCCTAGTGAGACTCTGAGTCGAGATCCAGCCAAGCTTACAAAGCTTCTGATCTATGGAAATGGTGAGATAATAAATGGGTGTTGTTTTAAGCCATTGAATTTGTCGTAGTTTGTTCTGGCAGTGATAGAAAATTAAAACACCTTTCATGCATAAGTCTGATTCAACATCAGGTTACAAACTGAGAGCCTATGGGATGTGTGTTTGTTTGACCCCTGCATTGTGGTTGTGGTACTTTTTAATTATAACTCATTGCCATAACTTAAAACTATTTCATATAAAAATCCAGAGTTTTGGCTTCTCTTGAAAATTCAGAAGATCTTGAAACATTGAATATTCCTACATGGTAACAAACAGTTGAAACTGAGTAGTAGATTCCTCTTTAGACAGGGGATGAGCTATTCAGTTTGCCACAGTCTCTACTCCTCTCTAATGAACCTTATATTGGATCCAATTCACATATTAATCTCCCTTATACAACCCTAGTATTCATGTAAGTCAGTGACTCCTGAAAAACACCTCCTGATAAATGAGAAAATGTCTAATCTTATTTCCCCTGTGGAGACCCTGAGGGAGCTGCCTGCCCTCGTATCCCCAGAAAAGGGTACTGCATTATTATCTTGAGGACAGAGGGGGAGCAGAGAAGCGTTACCCATTTCTCTTCTCCTGAGGCAGGAGGAGGGAGACAGGCAGCTCTCAGATGTTGCCTCATCTTCTTCTTTCCGGGCCCTGGGGCCCAAATGCTTCATTTCCCATGTTTCATGCCCATGCCCAGGGACTGGGCAACAGCTCTTATCTGAGAAACTGGCCTCCAAAGTCAGAGACAGGATGATCCACCCTGAGCCACAAAGTTCCAGGAGACACCAGAGAGTAGAGGAGAGAGAATTAGAGTTTGAGAAGGGTCATAAAGGGATAACAGTGTTGCCCTTGTGCCCTGCATCCCCTGAAATCCTAGATTCACCTCCACTTAAGTGAGAGGTAGAGCCAAACATATCTTCTAAGCTTTTTGAAGATCATCTGGCAGACCCTAGATCCAAAGTGACCAAGGTAGGCCTATATAAGCAGAATCTTTCCACACAAACAGAGAGGTTGAAAAAAGTTGTGTTGCTTTGGACCCAATATCCAGTGGGCTGAGGAGGAGTCCTTAGCACCTGTGTATCTAGTAGAATGTGTCCTCCTCTTTCCTTACTAAATCAACTCCGCTTACTAGCCTGGGTTCGTATTTTGGTGTCTCTGTCCAGCTCTCAGCTCCCTTGATGGCACTGAAGCTGCACTGAACCTCAGTACTATTGACTAAAGATCTAAACCCTTCTCTGGTCTTGGCCAGCCACCATCCCACCTCCCCTATATCTTCCCTCAGTGACCTGGCATTCTTGTCTCATATTCTTGGATAATGGCTGGACTTGTGCTGAAAATAGATCATAATGTTACTCCTGATTTTAAATATGACATTCCATCTAAAATTTCACATGGCCATCTCCTATGGGCTGGGCCAGACCTCTGGTTATCATTATTGTCTGAGGATAAATGTCTAAGTTTGCCAGTTCCTCTAAACATTGGGCTCTCAGTTACCACATTTGGTATACTACTATACTGATAACCATTGCCTGAGACCTCACCCACTTTTATTATAGTCATGTCTCATTCCAGCCAGCCTTCCTCTTTTCCTGACATGCTCCAGAATCTATACCTATTAGTAGATATAATTAATTGGAAAAGAACTTAGAAATCAACTTCATCTCTCATTTTAAAGATTAAGGAGAAAGAGGTCCAAAGAAGCTAGATGACTTATCTAAAGTTACACAGTGATTTAGAGGTAGATTGGACTAGGACTTCAGGTGCCTTTCCCAAGGGTTTTCCCATAATGTTGTAGCCCTTTATGAATTACCACACCTTAAAGAACCAGGTCCTATAAACTCATAGGGTCAGCCTCAATCATCTCTGAAGTTCTGTGCATTCTATTGCCACCCCAGATATTTCAGCACTGTAGGGAAGGTCCATTAACTCTCAACCCCAGGAAATTCCTCTCTTCTGCTAGTTAGAACCTTGTTCCTGATTCATGTAATACGTGAAGCAGCTACCCTTACCACGCTGGCAATTTCTGTTGAAGAACTGCTTGCAGTAGAGGAAGAAGAGCCCCAGGAAGGCCAGGGTAAACACCATGAGCAGACTGCTCACCAGTGCAACAAGTGTGACCTCCTGAGGGGATACTGTGGGTACATCTGCCTTCACTAAGCTCAACTGGAAGGCACCTGTGAGACAAGAAAGTGGGGGAGGTCAGTCACTGTAGGTAGTCAATAGTCACCCTGACACTGGGCCTGGACTTCCTCAGGCCAGCACCCTCTCCCCAGGGTCTTCCTCAACTAGGGCTGCTAAACTGGTTCTACTTCTTTGTAGAGCAGGGAAAAGTATAAAGAACAAAGTGGAAGAACTAGCATATACTGCTGGTATGGTATAAATTAGTATAGTTATTTGAAGATGCACATATCCTGTGGTCTTTCCGTGTCACATTCAGTTATATAACCTAGACAAATAGAAACAAACCAAAATGTTCATCAGTAGGGCACAGGATAAATAAATCATGATATAATTCTATGATGTAATATTATTATATAGCATTTAAAATAAAAGACCTGTATGGATCAATTTAAATAATCCAGAGAGGAAAAGCAAATTGGAGAGAGAGTATATAACTTGATATCATTTATATAAAACATTATAAAATATAAAAAATAGCATATAGAATACATTGCTTATGAATATATATATATATATATATATAAAATGAATACAAGTATCAAAACATGGGTGGAGAGTTTGGCAGAGTCATAGTGCTCACAAGTTATCCACATGCTTCTCTGCATTTCCCATATACCCTTGTAGTAAGGCCATAAGAGTACTTCTGGCCAATGGACTGTGAGTGGAAGTAATGTGTGTCACTTGCAGACTGAAGTAGTTAAAAGCCAGTATGTCTCCTCTATCTCTTAACCTGTCCCATCAACCTGGAAACCACATGGTTTGATGGTATAGTTACAAGATAGAGTAAGATCTTTGCATATGAAAAATAAACTTTTATTGCATGAAATCACTGAGCTTTGGGGGTTTGTTACTGTAGCATAGCCTACCAACAAGGTACACACAATTTCATGATAGTGGTTGCCTCTGGGGAGGTAAGGAGAGAATGGAACTCAGAAAGGATCAAAACACAGATTCCATTAAACTTGTGGAATCTTCATTTAAAAAAAAATTTGAAGCAAATATGCAAAATTTTAAGATTTATTAATCATTGATGCTGTGTAACTGAGCATTTTTCTTTTTATATTTTTCTGCATTTAAAATATTTCTACATATTTGAAATACTTCATGTTTTAAAAAGATATCAATAAATTAAAAAATAAGTGAGTAGACATATAGTTGGTAGATAGACAAAAATAATAGACAGATAAATGGATAGTGATATGGGCACAGACTAGATCTTAGTGCTTCATTCAGCCTTTTACTAGTCCTAAGCATTAGGGACTCCTATAAACTTCAAATAAATAATACACAAGTGTACAAATATTATAATTTACAAAATGCTTTCTAACCTCTTATTTCACTAGAACTAGGCAGCATCCCATAAGGTATGAAGAACAATGATTTTCATGACTTACATTTTTTTCAGGTGAGGGAAATGAGGTTCAATGAGATTCAATAATTTATAGAAGGTTACACAGATAATATATTGCAAAACTATTACTCAAATCTAACCAATTCCCTTGCCAATCTACCCTATAGGAAGGAGTATGAGGGGGTAGGGGAAGTCTTTACTATGCTGTCTTGCTGTCACTCAATGGATTGGGGGGGAAAGGGGAGAAGAGAACTGGATACACACACTGAACCTCAGAGGTGGGGGTCTGCTTCGTGCATGGGATACATTCTTGATCCTGCAGGCCTCCAATACGTGTCTTTTGGTAGAATCTGTAGTCAGAGCAATAAAAAATGGCAAGATGATCAAACAAGCAATGTACTTGGATTGGTCCTTCTTGAACCATAGGCAGCTTCTAAGAGTCTTGTCCTCCAGGAAGCCATCACTCACTCTGACCCCTCGTGAGTTCTCTGCCTCTATGTCTGATTCTGACTCAGAGTCCCAGACTCTCCACCTCTTCCCCCATTCACCAAACCCTATAACCAAAATGGGAACTAGTCTCACAAGAGAAGGAAACACTGCTTTGACACCAACTGCTTCCTAATCTCTTCTAGGTCTACAGTGAGATTTACCTTGAAACTTGGGCCTGAGCTAAGCATGCCAGCATGATAAAACAGCTGTTTAGTACTCATCTGTAATTGACTGCGTGCTAAGTACTTTATAAGGGTATCTTGAAAAAATAATGCTTCTCCCTCAGGGGAGCTTAAACTCATCATGATATGGACAGTTAGAATACTTCAACTAGGCCCTGAGAGGTAAGGATGAGGGAGACCTCCAAGGGCTAGAGAATGCCCAGAAGAGCTTGGCCTTATATAGCAGGCTCACCTGGGCAGACAGTCCCCACAGACGGCATTAGAGGTAGCTGTACAGTTCTCCTTCTGGATACGATTGATGACAGCACAGGTGATGCAAGTCTGACATCTATGGTGGCCCCAGCTGCTTTTATATCTGCGGGGAGGGCAGGCTGCGCAGTATGCATCTCCACCTTCTCCATAACCACAATCCTTCAGTGAAATGGGAGTCACTAACATTACTCTACAGAAACTTGGAGAGAGGATTAGCTATGGGACAAGTGGACATTGTACGGAGTAGCATTTTACAAACTGCAAGTTGCAACCCATTACTGAGTCATGACATCAATTTACAGTCAGCATAGGTTAGGTTATGCTATGGTAAAAAAGTAAACTCCAAACCTCAGTGTCTTAAAAGAACAAAAATTTATTTCTCACTCACACCATTTTGCTTACCAGAGATTTCCTGGGGGCTCTGTTTTACATTATACTTACTGGGTTACCCAGAGTGATGGAGGCTTCATCTTTGTGCTACCATGATTGGAGCATCAGAGAAAAGAGAATATTGTGATCTGTGCACTGGCTCTTAAATCTTCCCCCAGAAATAACTCATTTCATTTTGCTCACGTCCTTCACCACACACATCACCTGATCATTAGTAACTACAAAAGTAAAAGAAAGTATAATTCTATAGTGTGCCAGAGCTGGGGAACTGGAAATATTTGACAATGAATGCTAATAACTACCTATCTTAGTATTGTTTTATAGAAGGTTTACAGATGAAATATGTAAGTATGTGTTGGGTTGTGATGAAAATTTTATTTCTTACATTTTACTGAACTATAGTTGACTCACAACATTATATTCGTTTCAGGAGTACAACACAGTGATTCAATATTTTTATAGATTACACATCATACAAAGTTATTATATTATTGACTGTAATCCCTGTGATGTACATTGCATCTCTGTGGTGTATTCAGTTTATAACTGGTAGTTTGTACCTCTTAATTCCCTTCACCTATTGGGCTGGCCAAAAAGTTCGTTTGGGTTTTTCTGCAGGATGTTAGGAACAACCTGAACGAACGTTTTGGCCAAGCTAATATTTTGCCCTTACCCCTACACTCCTCTCCTCTGCCAATGGCTAGTTTTTTCTCTGTATCTGTGAGCCTGTTTCTGTTTGGTTATATTTGTTTATTTGTTTTTCAGATTCCACATATAAATGAAAACATATAGTATTTGTTTTTCCCTGTCTGATTTCACCTATTACTCCACCCCTCTCCTCTCTGGCAACTACTAGTTTGGTCTCTACATCTGTGATTGTCTCTGTTTTGTTACATTTATTTGTTTGTTTTGTATTTTTAGATTCCACATATAAGTGAAGACATACTGTATTTGTCTTTCTCTCTGACTTATTTCACCTAGCATAATACCATCTAGATCCATCCATGTTGTTGTAAATGACAAGATTTCATTATTGTTTATGGCCAAGTAATATTTCATTGTGTGTATATATATATATACATATATACGTGTGTGTGTGTATATATATATATATATATATATATATATACACATACATATACCACATCTTCTTTACCCATTCATCTGTTGATGGACACTTAGGTTGCTTCTACATCTTGGCTATTAAAAATAATGCTTCAATGAACACTGGGATGCATATAACTTTTTGAATTAGTGATTACATTTTCTTCAGATAAATACCCAAGAGTGGAATTGCTGGATCAAATGGTAGTAATATTTTTAATTTTTTGAGGAACCTTTATATTGTTTTCCATAATGGTTGTACCAATTTATATTCCTACAAACAGTGCATGAGGGGTCCCTTTTCTCCACATCCTCTCCAACATTTGTTATTTCTTGTCTTTTTGATGATAGCCATTCTGACAGGTGTGAGGTGATACCTCATTGTGATTTTGATTTGCATTTCCCTGATGATTAGTGATGTTGAAAATCTTTTCATGTGTCTGTTGGCCATCTATATGTCTTCTTTGGAAAAATGTCTATTCTGGTCCTCTGCCCATTTTTAATTCGGTTGTTTGTGTGTTTTTGATGTTGACTGTTATGAGTTATTTGTATATTTTGGATATTAACCTCTTACTGGATATTTTATTTGCAAATATATTCTTCTATTCAGTAAGATGCCTTTTTGTTTTGTCGATGTGCTTTGCTGTGTAAGTTACAGACAATATCACAGAAATACAAATAATCATGAGAATACTATGAACAATTATATGCTAACAAATTGGACAACCAAGAAAAAATGGATACATTTCTAGAAATATACAATCTTTTAAGATTGAATCTTACTCTCGGAAATGCTCAAACATGTTTGAATAAAGGTGGTATAGAGGAGAGATGAGTGATCCAGCTGGATATTGTCTCAGGTCTGGTATTGACTCAGTGTAACTTTGGCTAGCCTCTCTCCATTTCCAAGCATCAGAGCCCCCAGCACCTGAGGATATTAAAATAAATGGTCTCTAAATATTCTTCCAGCTCTGGCATTCTAACCTAGGAACAAGGCTCCTGCCGGTTATATCATAGCTCTTTGTCAAAGACACAACTCTACTTAACAATGGATATTAGTTATTTGTTTGTTGTGGGAGAAGTTGGCTGGTTGTTCACTAAACTCATTCACTTTTCTTCCTGGGAATACCACTTGTCAACATTTTCTAACCCCACACAAGTCTGTAGGGACATGTGCCTAATTTCTAGCCAATGGAATATGGTTTAAATGATGTATGCATCTCTCAGGCCTGGCTCAACAAAAAACTGTCTTTTTTCTTTATACTTATTTTATAATTAAAATATCCTTAATTTTCTTTATGCTTTGATCTTCTGGCACACAGGGACACCCAGGGAGATGTTGGAATCAATATATTAAAAACGACAGAGGACATCAGGGATATGGAGGAGGCAGCAGCTCTGAGCTTTCATTCCCTCACAGAAGTGTAGCAACACAAACAGAAACTGTTGGAATCAATGTTGTCAGAACTCTGGGAAATAGTCAAACATTTACAACAATGAAGCAAGTGCTGAACCAAGAAAAAGGCATCTTGAAAATGATAGGAAAGATTTGTGCCATTTTTACTTGCCCTTACTGCACCCCTCTCCCCAGCAACAGTCCTAGTGAAGGCAGTCTTAAAGTAGCAGCAGCCTGAGTTCCTAGTGTGAAACCCTCACCCCTAGGTCCAGAGTGAGCTAAGCAAAACTTATTCAAAAATTATTGTGTATGTCTATTTTAACCTGTTATCTGAAGGACAGATACAAGGTGCTCATCTCTGTTTCACTCAATTCAAAATGCAGCCTGGAAAATGGGTGGGCATTTGTTAAAATGTTTTGCAAAGCAAACTAATAAAACAGAGATGCCTCGGACAAGAAATTATGGGTGGAGACATATAATAGACTGCTTAAGTCTGGAGCAAAAGCTGGAGAAGATTCTTTGGGAAATTAGGACATTCAAAAGCACCAATATATATGGGGGCAGTTTAGAAAGGCCCAGGTATGTCCAGGGAAAGACACATGACTAGAAAAATATGGAGAAGACCCAAAGCTTGCACACTGGACTGATACATGGGCTAAGTGCCAGTTTGGCTAAGTGTTGAAGGAGTGCTTCAGCACAGAGCCAATGTTCAAAGATTGGGAGAGGTATGTGGGTTTTTTGGTTGCTACTGTTGTTATTTACTTTTAACTGCTGGCACTCAAGGAAATTCCTGTCAAAATATTAGCTGAACAAGATCCACACAGACTTCAGTGATCACATATGACAAAGAATACAGTCTTTGCACAAATAGTTTGGTTAAAACAACTAAACAAATGGACTACTATAGCCATCATCAAATAAAGTAACAACAACAGAAAACAGCTAAATATGGGGAAGGGGGAGAATCTGATTTTAAGTTACCACATTATAATTAAAACAGTTTTCAAAAACAACAACAAAAACACAAGGCATAAAAAGAAACAGGAATGTATGGCCCACTTACAGTAACAAATAAAATTGACAAACTGTTCCTGAGGAAGTTCAGACATCAGACCTACTAGACAAAGACAAAAAAGTACTGTCTTAAATATGTTCAAAGTAAAACATAGACAAAGAACTAAAGAATATAAGAAAATAAATGTATGAAAAATATGGTAATATCAAAAAAGAAAAATTGTAAAAAGTAACCAAACAGAAATACTAGAATTGAAAAGTAAAATAACTGAAATTAAAAATTCACTAGAAGGGTTCAACAGCAGATCTGAACAAGTAGAAGAACAAATGATGAAACCTGAAACATGACAGTTGAAATTGTTGAAATTATTAAGTCTGAGGAGCAGAAATTTAAAAAGGATGAAGTAAGTAAACAAAACCTAAGAGACACCATCAAATGGACCAATATACACATTATGGGAGTCCCAAAAGTAAAAGAGAGAGAAAGATAAAGAAGCAGAAAGAAATTTGAATAAATAATGGCTGAAATTTCTCAAAATTGACAAAAGGCATGAATAACACATCCACGATGCTCAACAAACTTCGATTTGGGAAAACTCAAAAAGACCCATATGAGACATAAACAAGATGTGGATAGCCAAAGACAAAATGAAAATCTTGAAGCAGAAGGAGAGAAACAATCTGTCAAATACAAGGGATCCTCAATAAGATGCAAAGTCGATTTCTCTTCAGAACCTGGAAGTTGGAAGGCAATAAGATAACATATTTAAGTGTCAAAAGAAATAAACTATTAACCAATTTTATACCCAGCAAAAAATCCTTCAAAAATGAGGGAGAAATTAAAATATTCCTAGATAAATAAAAGAAGCTAAAGGAGTTTGATACTACTAGACTTGTACTTCAATAAATGTTAAAGGGAGTTCTTCAGGTTAAAATGAAAAGACCCTAGATAGTAACTCAAAGCCATAAAAAGAAGTCAATATCTCTGGTAAAGTTAAATACACGGGCAAATACAGAAGGCAGCATTATTGAATATTTGGTTTGGAACTCTTCCTTTTATTTCCTATATTATTTAAAAGAAAAATTAATAAAATAGTAACAACAATAATAATAAATCTATGTTATTGCACATACAATGATTAAGATAAAAACAAAAGTGACAAAAATAACATAGAGGAAGGTGATATCAAACTGTATAAGTGGGCTTCCCTGGTGGCGCAGTGGTTGAGGGTCCGCCTGCCGATGCAGGGGACAC